ATGTCTCGTTCAAAGCGCAGTGCTGCTCTTCAGGCATGTTGCTCCAACTCATAACCCATAGTTGTTAATTAATGACTAATTACTTCCGATTATAAACAACTTGGTTCACTTTGCCTGTGACTCCCCCTCCTTTCAGTGGGTGGCCTGAGTATGTGTTCTTATGTCCGTAATTCATGCAGCTACCTACTAGTTTTCGATACAGACGAAGTAGCGAACAAGAAAACCGTCGTGGAAGAGGGCGCACATTTCGGCGAGACCCTGCCGATAGCGAACTCTCTTTGGCCATCCAAGAGAGTATTGAGTCAGCGAGTGTTCCATCGTCTAGTATCCGGCCCATTGCCGATCATGGAGAATTTGCTGATTTTGAATCAATTATACCAGCCACTGAATCTTTAGCTGTGACAGATACACCTTCAAGATACCTACAAGCCGTGTCCCAAAGTTCTAGAAGCGGAACTCTGGGAGAGTCTTCTTTTCCTCCTCTGCCTGTGGCTCCTGCAATTAATCAACAGAATTCGCATCCTGATGTCCCTTCCAAGAAAACAATGGCGGCCCATCTCCGTAGCAAGGTCAACAAGAAGGTGCATCCTGCCGCCAGTTCATCATCTCCTGCTTGGCCTGCCGTTACTCGGGCCCCTTCCCCTGCACAGCCTACAATTAATCCTCACGCTTGGCCTGCAGTAAATTCTGTTTCTGGGCCTGTATCTAGTTCTGGGCAGAGCAGACCGGCAGTAGAAACTGGAGCCACACCGTCTGCTAGTTCTTTGATTTCATCAAAGGCTTCTGGGAGCACGAGCCGCATGACACATTCCTCATCCGCCCCTAATCTTTCTGAACGTGAACTTCTCAGCACAACAGTAACCGATTTTCCTCCAGTTTCAGCTGCCTCAGCACAGACACGCAAGCCTCAGCCACCTGCTGTGGATCAAGCTTTGAAGGTGGAAAATGTTCACACGGCGAACAAATCCCTTGTGGAGAAAATGCGTTCTGCTCTGGGGTTTGATGAGGACAAATTCACTGCCTTCAAAGACATATCCGGTGAATACCGCCAAGGCTTAATGGATGCGGAGACATATCTATCGTGTGTTGACCAGTTTGGTCTGTCTCATCTTGTTCCGGAGATGGCCAGGCTCCTGCCTAATGCCCCGAAGCAGAAGGAGCTAATGGATGCCTACAACCTGAATATGGCGTACAGTACCTCGAGGGACACTATCTCGAGTGACAGTGTAAAACATGGGAATGGGTCCAAGAAAGGAAAAGGAAAGGCTGTGGAATCACCCAGCAGCTCTGTCAAAAACAGTTTTGCCGACAGTGTGATAAACACTATAAATCAGCTACAGTCGAGCTACAGCCAAAGCACTGGAGAAGAGGTTGAGGTTTTGTCGAAGGACGGATACCGAGGCAGCAAGGCCAAGTCAAAGGTCTTGATTGACGATACAGCGAGTGGGGCCGCCGAGTCTACAAAGTCAAGGAGCCAGGTTGACCCATTACCTGCTGGCAGTGGGGCAACCAATCAAAATGCAGGTATTGGAGATGGGAAAAGCAAGAAGTGGAAGAAGACATCGAAGTTCCACAGGGTCCGACTTGGTGATGACTCTGTTGAAGCATTCCTGGATTTGAAAAGTGCTGAGCCAGAGCCGGATCCTGTACCCAATGGAAAGGAAGGTTCCTCAGGCAGGCCAAATGACAGCTTGCCGGTTCGTGGAGTGTGGAAAAATGGTGGAGGTCAGAAGCTACTGGGAATGACTTCTAGAGGTTCTAAAAACTGATTGTGGATGAGGAGGTGAGGTGTGAGTTATTTCAAGACCTGCCTGCTCTGTGGAAGTGGCTCTGTTCATTCAGCTTAATGATTCAGTTGGCATTCAGTCAGTGTCTTGGAGTGTTTTCTAGTGGTGAAGCTGTGCAGTTGTGTTCTGGGCTCTGCTGGAGTTCTGTTTTGGATATCAACTGGTATACTTGGACGGCCGTACATTTGTTTGTTTTATCAACTTTTGAAATATCCAGGGATAGTGTTCCCCCCTCGCACATTAACGTTAGTAAACATGTTTTGGTAATTTTGTCCTATATTTTTAAAATGCCAGCTACTACGCTAAGCGGTGTTCTAGTTTGCATCAGCAAAGTTTATACAATTATATGCTAATTTAGTATTTGGATTTTGGTGTGTGCTTCGTGTTTTGAAATTTGATGTAATTTGGCTACTTTCATGAAATGACTGACGGTCTGATGCACTGTGTTGAAAAATGATTTCTATTTGTTGTTTTTTATCCCCTCAATTAAGGCACACAAACAAAAGTAGCCATATAATCGCAAATGGTTAGGTGTGAGTTATATGCTATTCCACAGAATGGAGAACGAGAATCATGAAGTTGACAATATACACCAATTTACAGACAAGGCTGCGAGTGAGTCATATGCTATTCCACAGAATGGAGAACGAAAATCATGAAGTTGACAATATACACCAATTTACAGACAAGGCTGCGGAGTTGTACAAGAGAAATAAATAATCATGATTTTAAGAGGCCGCGTGGCTAGGAGAGTGATGCTTGCAACCAAAGGTTTTCTCGCTACTGTAGCACATGTAGAGGAACCCATCATCATCCTTAAATGAATCGTACACGGACTCGATCAAGCTTGCTGTGACCACAAAAGAAAAAAGTGAGAACAAGTAGAAGAATGCGGTTGTCCAAGAGTTGTGTGGTGCAATGTTCTAAACAATCCATGGAATGAGAGGGAAATTTACATGTCTGTGGTAATGTATTCTTCACAAATACAAAAAGAGCCTTTCCAGGAGCCAAATGGAGCCTCCCGCTCAGTATGTGAATAAATTGGCCAACAGACATGTCACGAGGCACCAAGAATCTGTTGACAAACATTCACAAACAGATACACGTAAAATCTCTACAATTCCTCTCAAAGGAAAAAAAAGATGAAGAAAACTTATACAGAAGTAAATTAATCTAATTTCGAGACCGAATTAAGAAGCTGATTGTTAATCAACATTAGATGTCCTCTGCAAAAGTAATTCAATAAAAAAATACAATATAAGCTAAGAAGTTAAGGTAACATGTTCTGGCTGCCTAAGTCCTAACCCCTAATCCCTGTAAAAGAAGAGCTTTTTAAAATAAATCTCACAGGAAAGACTCGTAGACTGTCAGTGATTTCAGTTTTTAAGACAGGTGAAATTCCATTGCAATTTGCAAGACAAACGCAAGCAAGACAAAAATGAACTCACTTCTTCTTCTCCATCTCTGGAAGGTCAGATTTTGTATACCTCTCAGCTACAACCTACAATTGTCACCAAGTAAATATTATCAT